TATCCGAACAACGAAAATACAAAATATCATGCTGAAATTAGTTCCCACCATAGAACAATACCGCTTCGTTCTGTTTCAATTTCGTTTCCGCATTCCTTTACATGCATGTTTGTTTTATTAATTACTTCTGGTCATTTCACTTGCTGTTCACCTTTGACAGACGCCTATGCATCACACACTTGACTTCTCCTGATAATTATACAGCACCTTATGTTATCTCTGGTCACCGCGTCACCAATAACTGTTCTCAGATATCTGTGAATACAGTTTCGTACAACGAATGACTTTCGAGACGTCTTTCCTTCTTAAAACTACGAGTGAACTCTGAGAAGCAATCGTCAATGATGTGGTTTTCTGGGATCAAGAACGATTACACATCATACATTAGTAGCAGCCGATCGTTAACGATGATAAGGATAGCACGTTCTTGGATGGTCTGCAGATTCGTAAACCTCTCAGGACGTGGGTAGGCCTAGCTTCACATCCGTATTGAATTCTTTGTGCTGTTTTAGTACCCACCTGATACGAAGAAAAAACATGGTGAAGATGGTTGTCTTCTGGGCTGTAGCGCCGTGTATCTGATAGAAGTTTACCGACGTTTCAGAGGTGCCTGTTGCCGCCATCATCAGGGCGACAAGTACTCATCATAATCAACTTCTACCAGACTGCACGGCGCTACAACCCAGAAGACTGATATTCGTGCTTTCAGCCGTGAGATCCTCAAATCCTACTAAGAAACACAGCATTTACCAGAGTTCGCAAATATTACGGCGTAGTGGTTAGAGAGCCTGTTTCGTACAGAAGACGTCTCAGGTTCGAATCTTGGCCCGGAGACATGTGTCCCATACTGAGATTCAAGCATTGCGTTATATTAACCCAGAATAAATCCTTTGCTCATGCTTCTAGATCTTTAAAATGATCATCGCACTTCTCATTCGACGCTGCATGTAGTTGACAAGGCGTGGTTAAATAAATGAAGGAACAAACGAAAACTCAAAAAAGTGTACTATAGACTAGTGTTCAATCGTGACGAGAAAGTGTGCATTCTGTCCAGATACGGTGAACGAAAAGTGAAAAAGAAAGATCACGGCAGTGCTCACGGATAAAAATTCTACAGCAGACCAAATGTGGCCGGGCATGATCCGTTCTGACCAGTTTACCTTTATTTAGAGGGCGGATGGAGCTATTTTGAATGGGCCGTAAGTCGGAAAATCTCGCAAGAAAAAATCTTAAGTTTAACAGCTGGTAAATAGCTTGTTCGCACTTTAAATATAGCCTACTACAGATCCTGCAATAACATTACTATCAACAATAAATACCGATACTAACTCCACGGAGCACAGTACTTCTTAAGATACTTTCAGTACCCTATTATTCACCTCAATATTATTCCCTCACCTTCACATCGGTCTTTCAAGTAACGGTTCTTCAAAACATTTCCCCATAATCATTCTGCATGTATGTTTTGTCTCCCCTATCCGAAATACAAAACATCGTACAACATTTTGGAGGAAGTGTTTATAATCCCTTTCCACGTTTTAAAAATTTCACATCCTTACGCCGCAAGTAAGACAGCAGCGCGTAAAAATCTATCGGAAGATCAAAACAAACCTGGGTAGTGAAAACTCAGAAAAAATAATGCAATGGAATGAGGTCAAAACTAAAGCCAAAGACAGGAAAATGTGCGGTACTTTTACGTCATCAGAGAGAAGAGAATCGCGCAAGCCATCATGGTTCAACAGTTACCACCTAATTCCTTTCCACCAACTCATGGCGATATAACGAATGGACTACATCTGATTCAGAGGAAATACCACTTTACAACACGTGTGTACAAGTTCCTTTAACATTTTTCATTTCAAATTGCATTAATCGAGGATAAAACCATCTTTCTTATAACTTTACCATATGCCTGAATAAAACATTTTTGGGTAAAAATCTTGTAACACAAATCCTTCACCTTCAATCGGTACAGACGAGAACCTTAAACTGAGCTATTTAACATATTCTTTAAACAATAGAGGACGGACGTTAAGAATCAATTACACAGAACACACCCATTACTGCATCTCTTTTCTCATAAACTCTTGACTTTTTTTGTATTATTCTTCACGGGACCATAAATAAGAAAACTTGAGAAACAACGTACCACTGCAGTCAGCTTTACTGGATTGCACCACGTAAATTGGTCTAGTTAACAAATTAGAAAATGAAACTTTAGAAAATAAAAAAGAGAATCAGGAATCTTCACAAAACTTCGCGATAAAAGAAAACGTAACCCCCCACGACTTTTTAGTTGTAGCTTGTGTATAAGCAAGACAAGAACGACAGGAGTTACTGGAGCAAGTCCAGTGAAGAGTCCATTGGCCGCGACTAATAAGGAGAGAGTATTTTACTAGTTACGTGAGTGAAATGCACCTCTGCTTTTGACACGATACAATAGAACAAGGCATGAGAAAAACTATATGCTTGCTATATTGCCTTTTGTTCTGGCAGCTTGTCTAAACACAAGAGACTGAGTAGGATTTGAAGTCTTCGCGGCTATGAGTCCGAAGATGGCTGTCTTCAGGGTTGTTGCGCCGTGTAATCTGGCAGAAGTTTGCCAACGTTTCACAGATCCTTGCGATGCCCTGATGATGGAGGCAGTAAGAACCTCTGAAAAGCTGGCAAACTTCTGCCAGATTACACGGCGCAACAACCCAGAAGACAGCCATCTACAAGAGACTGATCCACGTACGAAAAACTCGCTGGATGTCCTGCTGATATCAGAAACACTTGGAGAAGACGTACACATGATCGTCCGTACGCAGAAGGGTAAAAGATCAATTGAAGTAAGACTTAAAAACATCAAAGTGTAACTATAAAAGAATAACTCCATGTAACACAATCATCATTCAAGAACTGACAGTCACTCAACTGGACAATAAGTCCTTTCGTTTATGTAACCTGAAGGTTCACATAATCCCGAAATTAAATTAGATTAAGCTGCTTTTAATCTAGTAACAAACTCACATGCCATTTCTCTACGACCCATTCTGAAGTAAAATTCAGTCTCGATTTTCATACTAATATGACCATTTCGCTTTAGAAGTTAGGTTTAGTCCACACAGAATGGAAAATTTTCTCTTAATCATGTTAATGCTACAAGCCAGCCACTGACACTCCCATCAAACTCTCACCAGTTTAGAACAGATCATATAATGTTTAGCCTCTGCTTCCATGAAGGTGGCAGTCACACAAAAACGAGTGCCTTAAACCGGTGAAATTCATCCTTTTAATCTCACTAGCGAACTCCCTGTTAATTCAACACAGAGGTTTAACACCGTTTAATGAAAGCCTGCCAATGAATACAAAACCTATACAATTCAGTTCATCTTCACAAAGTACTTTAAAGAACCACTTAAATAATACTTTCTTTCCATCTACATCGTTGGTCTACCAAGTGGTCTCTCTCCATAACTAACAGCTTGCCTGAGTATTCAACACATTTGACTACCAGAAAAATTCTTTGCTGTTCATATCCGAAGATTCATCAGCGTCATCATAAAAATCCGATTCCCGAGTAATCTGCACTCCTGCTTCCTATTCGCAAAGCCCCAGGTTCAAACCTCAACCCAGAGGTGAGCTATACTAACTCACACTTTTCGTTGTTTGTATCAGTCTCTCCAAGGAAATGCCTTGATAGTATCTTAAATTAGGCCACGACCGCTTCCTTTCATATTCATTAATCATCTTATCATTCCTATTTCGTAATTTATTACTAGCAGAAAAAAATTAATTCCGGAATCGAGTCTAGTACAGGTAATGATTGACTAAAAATATTGACATGTCAGAGTTAAAAACATTATAGTCCAACAGTTTGAAATTTTATAGATAAATTACACTGCATTCCTAAATTAAATAATGTGTTACAAAAATCTAAAACTCTACACGGGCCGGATAAAAAGGACGGCTGTAAAAATTTCAAAACTAAACCATTCATCTGATACATGTCGTTCCATGTGACACGCAACTGCCAAGTTTTGACATAACAAAGACATTAAAACAAAAGTTTTATTTATTAACGTAATTTTTAAACGGATATGTGACAGTGCACTGGGAAGGAAGTTGAAAAATAAGATGCGTATCAGAAAGTGAGCAAATAAAACACTCCTGCACTGATAATACAGCAGCCCGCAAGACACGGAAGGAGGGCCGAGGCAAATATATTACACGACTTTCCTAAGAATGCTGTCGCATTGCTACGAAGACATAAAAAACTAAGGAAAAATAAAGGATGAGGAATGCCATAAAACTATGTTAAATTATAATATCAGTAGGTAAGATCTAAAAGTACCTAAGAACAAATCAAGAGAGAGGGAACAGGCAGATCGGAAAACCCAGAGACTCTAAAATAGGGGGCTTAGGACGAAGAAATCTGATAAAATCTTTTACGGATACTCTACCTATATACAGCATTATTACATATCAAGTGGAGCCTAGATACGGATATACAAATGCGTACCTTATATACAACATTTAAATTTGTGTGTGTGTGTGCATTTCTCCAGCTTGGAAACTAACGGCGCCAAGACCGAGAAGATTACAGGCCAAAGCCCTGAAAGCAGTCCTGGGTAAACCTGATAATAAAATGTCTTTCCGCGGTTTCGAAGATGATTAATAGGGTACATTTCTCTTTCCGATTCTTACCAATAAGATGTGTATGTACTTTACGCCCTCATCCGTACACATATATCCATGCTACAAACACTAAGTAACCGAAACTCGATTTGAAAATCATGGCAATAACCACAAACAAATCGTTGTAAAGAACATCACATCTCTATGGTAACAGGCTATAAACATGCCTAATTCTGGTAATATTTATTAGATACTTTACTGTCACAAATTAAGCCGTCGACGGAACGGCCGCCTCAAAAGCAGAGTCCTACGCCCGGGTACGTCATTGACCACATAAACGGGATCGAACATTCGAAACCCGCTTGGAGCTTCGGTGCCTGTCCGCGATTTTTCGCAATTGTCCCAGGCAGGCAGAAGCCTTAAGATGGTTTGACTGTCTCTTCGCCTGTCATACATCTTAACAGAAGAAGCCCTGAGGAGGACTAGAGGCTCAAATAAAAGAGGAATAACATAAAACAAGACCCGGAAGGAGAAGGACAACAACAAAACTGAAGAACTGATGAATAAGGAGCAAGGACAACGAGAATAATGAAGGAAAAGATAAAGGTAAGAGGAAAAAGAAACTGAAAAATAAAAGAAGACAAGTGACCTGAGAATCAAATGAAGTTATTTTCTTTTTGTCAAATGTGTATTTTGAAATGATGCTCGCGTGTCGGAAATACCTTGACTGTTGCTTTACTTGTGACCCCCCGCCCCCAGTAGATGTTCTGGCCACACCCATTCTGCCCCTTCACCCTCTATGGTCAAAACTTGACGGCAGGTTAATTCCACGCAGGCGCAACAATGGGCATATTGATCCTCGTCGTAAACCGACCTCTGGTCGATGTCTTGCCCCATTTTGCACCGCATCAGAGGACCCCAAAACAGCCCCCTCCTTCTCCCCAAATCTTTACGCCTAAATTTAAAAGTAAGAAACCTCTTTCCTACCGCGTCAACATAAAACGCAATTTCAAAACCTTCAATTTTTTTCACAATGAATGCACACACAATGGAAATTGTAGGATGAACTTGCTGTCGTAACTGAAATTTGGAGAAACAAAATTTCAATACGAAATGTTAGTAGGAAGACATCAAAAGAATAAAACCGAGAGACATGGACACACAAAAGGCAAAAATGTTATTAAAATGAATATTATAAAAAGAGTGTGAGGACGTGGACCGGATTAAAGTCACTCGGGATCGTAGCAATGGCGAGCTCTTGTGAACACGGCAACGAACACTCGGGTTTCCTTTTTTTTTTGGGGGGGGGGCATTTCTTGAGTAGCTGCGCCACTGCTAGATTTTCACCAAATCATTCATTCTAAGATTAATTCTACGTGGTGGCTATTTTACCAGCGAATACAAGCACAGCACTTTCTAACTTAAAGGCAAGATTAGACCGATTTAAGAGTTTCTGTAGCCTTGCACCACTGACAGTAATCAGCAAAGCCGCAATACCAAGCTGCACGGTCTGCAGTTAACAATCGCTCTCGATTACTCGACAGACGGCTGATAGCATATCGATGTTTATACACAACGTCATTGCTCGCCAGTTGCAAGTAGGTACGAAACAAACATACAAAACTATTCCAAGATGAATTGGAATAATGCACCAGACTGAAACCTGAAACTAACTTTATCTCTAATTCAGATTTTTACACATGCAATGCGAGCACAAATTCATTGAGTGGTTTCAAATGATCGTTTAACAAAAACCAAATGGCATACAGAAATAAGCTTACACCACTGCAAGAAAAATAAAGAAATAATATGTTGTAGCATGCCGGAGAAGTGACGCAACTCCAAACATGGCCACTAGGAACACAACTGTTGACACGGCAGTAAAATGGCGACTCAGTCCGGGAAAGCGAACTGAATTCGTGCATAGATGATTTTTATGGAATTGCCTCAACAAAACACGTTTGAAGTGATCACACATTTTGTTGGATGGAACTCGATCACACATAACGCTTTCTCGGGTTGAGTCGTCATTTTCTGCCATGTCAAGAGCTGCGTTGTGGCCATTATTGGAGGTAGGCCGCTTTTCCCACATGCCAGAAAAAGGTTTCATGAAGTTCTCTTTCTAATGCGTAAACCCAAGCTTCATTTCTACACGTCGTTTAGTTTTCGTTAATCAAATATCTGAAACCTCTCAGATAATTTGTGTTAGGCCTGTTAGAGGTTGAAAGCACGTCATTCCATACGCGTGGTTGATGGCGTGATGTCCTCACTCTGCATTTAGCAACACTAAGCGAGATGGGCAGGAACCAACGAAGCTA